CTTGGCCTTTTGTGTCAGTTCCAAGTTCAGGATTTTCATTCTAAGCAATGAGAAGTCACTGCAGGACATTTAGCACACTATCTTATGAAAACATTTCCCAAATATGTGGCACATGTAATATATTTTCTTCATAGCACTTCGTTGTGTGGGCACTATTTGTCTACAGGTGGCTATGGTTTTATATATATAGATAGATATAGATATATATGTGCAATCTTTTAGTTAAAAATGAATGTGACTGTATGCATACATAGAATTTATGAAGACATCATTAAAAGATATCTTTTTATGGTTCCCATAAATAGCAATAACACAATTTAGAATTAAGCAAATGGTTTTCCCTGGAGGATACTGTATTTGCTTTGTTTCTCTATACTCATTGGCTCAGTGATTATTATCACTACATGATATATTGAAGGTGTCTTCCTTATCCTTTTCTGTTGGTTTTTTCCTATTCAAGGTGATTTTTAAATACCAAAGTACACACCAGAGGAAAACAACTTGGCTTTGTCACAAGCTCCCATTTACTTATTCTGGTTTTCTGGAAAGTGACTTCCATAAAATTCTCTAAAAAATAATTTTTAAGTTTTTACTGCTGGTGTGATTTCTTCACATGTGATATGATCAAATACCATTTTTATCAAAAACAATGAGAAAGAGCTGATGGAAACTAGAATAGTTTAAAAACCTGTCAAGGATGTTTATCTCTCTGTAAGGTGGGTTGACAAAAAAGAGAAGCCAAAGCGAGAAGACTAGAAGGTTGAGTGATACCCAAACTCTAGATGAACAAATGTTTTACAAAACAGTGCTTAAGCAATTCACAAATTAAAGTGATAAAGACCCTGAAGTGCAGTGTTATTTAGTTTAATCTTGCTCTGTCAAAACAGCAGCCAGGTGTGGTGCCCCATGCCTGTAATCCCAGCACTTGGGAGGCTGAAGCAGGAGGATTGTTTCAAGTTCTAAACCAGTCCGAACTACCTAACAAGACCCTGTCTCAAAGAACCAGTCTAATATGATCTAATCTTTCAGGGATTATGAATTTGGAATTATAGTAAAAAGAAGCCGCTGAACAAACATATGTTATTGCATTATTTTTGACATATTTACACAAAATTTTAAAAATCAAAACTACTATCTCTGATTTTACATTCTCAAATATGAGAGGAATAAATTCAAATGCTTCTACTAGGCCATCAACTCTCTGCTTTACATATTGTTCTGCTGTAAAAATTGTGAATTGGAACCATGCTTATAAAATGCTAAATTTCACCTGTCATTTGTGAATCGAAATTTCAGCTATGTGGGAGCTGCATTTCTGAGCAGCAGTGAAAACTGTGGTATTACACCGCCCAGAGGGAAAAAATTTGGCTCTTCCAAGTCTTCTTCATGACAGCAGATTTACCCCAAAATGGACATTTCACAGAGACCACTAAGAGGCTGGGACAGCACTCACCATGTTTCAGACAGAATATTGCACCAAGACCAGGAGAACGGAGTCTAAGCCTAGCCATTTCACTATCCAATTTTGGGAGTCTGACTTGACCAACTCATCAAATGAAACTGGAGGAGATGTTTTTGGCTCCAGTTGGGTCTGTTAACCTAAAATTGACTGCTAAATTTCACAGTTAAAAATGAGTCACTCAGTTTTGCAAATACCAACTGCAAATTCATACATTTCCCAAAACTACATTATTCCTTTGGATTTCAGCCTCAAGCAGGTTTGAAGACAGTCATATATTGGGGGAGGGTAAGCTTCTTTCAAAGGGAAGGCTCATTTTTTCCATTCCTGCTCCATGGAGGAGATTAGCCTCTTTCTCTCTACAAAGTCATAGATCAAGGACTTAAGAAAATAATAAAGTTTGGGGGACTGGCTGTACCCTTCTAGCAATGGAAAGAAGCAACTACATTCCAGCTGATGCTAATTAGACATGGAAGAAAACATTGCAGAATGCATGTCAGAGACAGCATGTTAGTTCTCAGTTTGTGGAATTTTGTTGTAGCAACAGTAATTGAACTAAGATATTCCCATCAAAGAAAGGAGGAAGGAAAGGATGGAGGGGGGAAGACAGGGGAGGGAGGGAGAGAGGGAGGAAAAAAAGAAAGAAAGAAAAAAAGAAAGAAAGAGAAAGAGATAAAGAAAGAAAGAGAGAGACAGAGAAAGAAAGAAAGAGAAAGAAAGAAAGAAAGAAAGAAAAAAGAAAGAAAGAAAGAAAGAAAGAGAAAGAGAGAAAGAAAAAGAAAGACAGAAAGAAAGAAAGAAAGAAAGAAAGAAAGAAAGAAAGAAAGAAAGAAAGAAAGAAAGAAAGAAAGAAAGAAAAAGAGAGGAAGAGAAAGTGGGTGATGAAAACAGCTAGAATCCTGAATATTTTACAGGTGAAAATACAGGGGCAGACGCAAGCCCTGACAGCGCATACTCACAGTCACAGTGCTGGTAAATGGCAGAGGTGGGTTCTACACCACAAAGTCTGTCTCCTGAGACGTCATCAAACTGTGTCAGGCAAAAGATTCCTCTCCACTTCAAACCTGCCACAGGACTGAACTGCACTGCAAAATGACTACAGTGTCATTTTGAATTGAGTTGATTAAATTTAATTTTTAAATGGAAATAATAAAAGCTTAAAGGTTAAAAGAACTTGTTTTAACAACTATGAGTATTTGCAAAGACACAGAATTGAGATTAGATAGACAGACAGACACACTTTCTACTTTTGTGGGGATATGAAGATTCAACAGATACTTCTGAATATCGACATTCACGGGGATAAAAAAAGAAGCTATTTCATGTTTTTATTTCCCTAAGTTTATCTCCTCAATAAACTAGTTCCAAAGAGCTTTCTTTGTTTTAAAATGAAGCAGTTTAGGACACAAGGGTTTGGAGTCAGCAAATTGAGCTTGGAATTCAGCTTTCTGTGTTTGTGTGAATTTACGTTGGATGTATCAGTTCTTCACTAGCAAATGAGGATAAAAATACTTAATTCTCGATATTGTCACAAGACCTAAATGAGACAGGGATGTTCAGTCGGTAGAAGAGGTTATGCCACAGCCTGAATAGTAGACCTATGTCTCAGCAGCTTCACATTATTTCCTGTTAGGATAAAATTCTTGGATGAGAAGTCAGGTCCGGTGAGAGCCTCCTCATCCCGTGACCATCAGAGACAGCGCGGCTGACCAGAGCTGAGGCACGAAATAAAAGGAGAGATGGAAAGAAAGAAAAATAAGTAAAGATGGCAGGATTTTATGGGCAAAATTTACAATGATAACTTCCACGTACATTTCTGTAAAGAGACTGCCATCATGGTTGTACCCAGATACAGGAAATTGGGGCTGGGGATTTAGCTCAGCGGCACAGCGCCTGCCCGGCAAGCGCAAGGCATGAGTTCCATTCCCGGTAGGGAAAAAAAAACCAAAAACCAAAACAAAACAAAGCAAACACACAAAGAAAAAAATAAAATACAGGAAATTTTGGGGAATACAACCTGTACAGTCAAAGAATAAAAAAGGATATTGAGGGTAGCTGGAAATTTTGTTTTATGTGCAAAAAATACTTAGCAGAGTGCCTGGTAGAATTGGGATTCACTTTAAGTGTTGTTACTACCTCTCAGAGCCCTAATGGGTTTAAAATTCTGAGAAATAAAATCAAAAGCTCTTTTCATTAAACCATAGATAGTCAAATGGTTTGTAAATGGTGCACTTTGGACAGTAGGTTACATTTCACTTGAAGTACACACATATTAAAGGTAAGTGATGATTATTTTCAAGAGAAAAGTTTCAGTTTTATATAATTCCTCTCTCAAGAAATGACAAAAACAGATATAAAATTTGAATACAGGTATTCCACAAACAAAAAATATTATTGAGAAAAACATTATTAGGAAGAATATGACATCTACTTTCCAATGTCTTTTATATTTCTGTTTAATAAATTAACAGTGGAAAATATACTCCCAAAAGATGGGAAATGAATGTACATCTTTTCTTCCTCAAGAATTACTTTTCCACAATACTATTTCTCTTTTCTTCAACTGTAGTTCTGTAAGATGCTAGTACTGACTAACCTCCATTAACTATCCAGTTTTTTTATCTGATATTAATGATTTAAAATCACTCAGGTAAATATTTAAAGGAGTCAAGGGAAATTCAGTTATAGTTTTAATATAGTGGTTGGATATTGTTCATTATGTTCAAGGATAAGTAACCAGAAAATGGAAAACTATATGAGAAACAAAAAATCAATATAAAAATGCTGATATAGCATAACAGAAAGTATAGGACAGAGCACCTGACTGAAGGAAATTTTCTCAAAGATTCCCATGAAGTAAAACACTATACCCAAAGAGAGATCAAGATTGGGTGAAAATATAAACTAAAATCAAAAGTTCGAAGTCAGCTTTGGAGAATGAAGTTAAAGAAACAAAGAATGCTTCAGCAAAAATGCAAATGACAAGAAAAGCAGGATGTGGAGAAAATGCAAAGAATGTGGGTCTAAATTCCTCGAGTTCTAGCTATGTAAGGATTTGACACACTTGGGATGGAGAAAAATAAAATCATAAATACTTTTTGTTCCAATCTGACCTTAAATTTTCTGAAGCATAATTTATAAGGAACTGTCACCTTTCTGGTGGTCACTAATCTACAAAGAACACAACATCTTACCTCATGATATATAGCTGCAACTGTATAATGACAATTATTCTCAATAATGTGATATTATCATCTCTGGTAGTTTTTCAGTTTTCTAATTAATTTCACATAATACTGTCTGAGATGGACTAATCTGATTTCCTGACCACATAATAGATCTGCCTCACACTTTGAAATGCCCAGTTGAAGATATCTATGAATTTGCACTGAAAAAGAATTGATGCTTATGCCATGCTTGAGGTTTCTTTTTGTTTAAGTTTCCTAATGATCCCTCCCGTTCATCTAATCTATTTAGAAGGCCCATCCCTTTCTGTAAGTGCTAAGAGGATTCCCCTGGGCAGCGCTTAATGGGAATTTACCTAGAAAATGTTATTAAGCAGAAGAGAGACCGTGAGTAGATTCCTCATCAGCTCAATTTGTATGCTCACTGTGCTCCAGGGAACTCAATAAGCTTCGAAGACTGATTCAGATGGCAGACAAAAATCCTGAGATTCCTACTGTGATTCAGCAGAATGCTAAAAGCAGTATCCTTCTCCCTCTCCCCTCATGAAGACTGAGCAAAGCTAGCTCAGGTCTGTAGACATTTTCACAATTGAAAGTTCTTAGAATGCCACAGACAATAGAAGCATCTCATTCAGGATAAATTCCAAGTTACCACGAAGTGCTGGATCTTGAAGTAAATTGAATGAGTCACAGCAAATTTGAAAGAAAATAAAACAACAGAACAAAATACCCTGGTACTTTACAACATCTAACCATGCGATTACATATTTCATTTATTTAAATATGTATCTCCGTAGTGGGTCTCTCTGTATCCTTGTGTGATGTAAAATACCGTGCTTATAATATGTCACTGAAAAAAAAGTATAAACTACTTTGTGATTGATTTATCATTCATTTAAGATGTGAATAGGCTATGAAACTGGTTTCTTTTGTTTGTATAATAGAATTTCCATTTTATTATTATTGAGATAAAAAGTAATTCAGCTTTAAATTACTAGTATCCTCTCTATAAAGTCTCTAAGCATGACTTCATTGTATATTGAATAGATTTATCACAAAAATATTATGCAGCATTTCCATATCACACCACCACAACAAAATACTAAGAATTTTACATGTTCAAAATTTTAGAATATAGAAAAATAACAAATATCTAAAGTACAGTTGTAATTATTGTTTTCTGAACAAGTAGTGGAAGAGAAGTATGTTTAAAGATTTTTTAATCAAAGGGGAAAAGATAATTGCACTTACTCATCTAAAGGGCAAAATTAATTGATTGAAGGAACTTATGATAAGACAGAAAAAGTTGTATACTAATCACCACATAGGCATTTCTGATGATTTAAACCCTTTAAACATTTATTTTAAGAAAGTGCTTAGCTAAGAAGGAAACTTAGGCTCAATGGTAATTAGAAAATAGAATTTAGCCGTTTCCCCTCAAAATAGAATCTAAAACTTAATGTATGCTTTCCAAATAATTAGGAAAAGGAGTTTATTGAAATAAAAATAACACCTATCTATAAATAATGGGAATCAATGGAATGGGTAAAGTTTCATAAGTGTGCAATGCTGGCAGATTAAATAATCTATTATGCTATGTATGTGTTATATTTCCTGTTGAAATAACTAAATATTGCGGATAAGAATTTACTTCGCCAAGAGTTTAAAGTAAAGATGAATAAGAGAAAAATCAGATGAGTAAAAACAAAACCAGAGAGCAAGGAATACAATAATTGCTCTCCACCTGTTGAGTTTTGAGAAGCTATTTGGTGAAAAAATGTTTCTTTCGTATATGAGATTATGTTGACTTGTGTTTACCTCGAACACAGCCAGATAGACCTTCTGCAGTCCCGTCCTTTCACTAGGAAATTTTGGCTTCCAAATAATTGAGCAGCCTGACAAAATATCCATAATCTCGACTGAGCTTCACGTTATCCAGGCTTCTCTCAGCCCTCTCCACAGAACTGTGACCTTGATTCTTCTCTGAGCAAGCACTGGCAAATAGGAAAACTCTTCATTTAAAATCCCTCCTCAAAATTAATGATTCCTGGGGGAAAATGGTCCTAAACACAAACTATTCGCTTCATGCCTCCCGCCCCATTCCTTCCAGCCCTGTGCATTCCTCCGTGTAAAAGAAGAGCCCTTTCTGACTGACCATTGATCTGCTTACAGATATTAGGAGAGTCATGCCATCACCACAGCACCTCCTCATCATTACTGCCATAGTCTTTTCAACTAAGTCTTTCCTTTCTGCAGTGCAGATTTGTCTCAATTGCCAAACAATTTTTTTCTACTACACACACATACACATATTTTAATTATTAAAAGTAACAAAAAAAGTGTAAAAAACAACTGAAATGCATCTGTTTCCATTCTACAAATATCAAATTTTAAAAAGTAATAAAATTAAAAGGAATCTGAAAGATAAAATTAATAGGTCTTATTTACTAACCATACTTCATACTAAATTAAGCAAATTGAATAACAGGTAAAGAATATTGACAAGGGAGAAAGAATACTTTCATGCTCATTTTAATGATTTGTGTATAGAGAGAAATGATATCCAAAACAATTAGAATAAGATATTTTAACAATGTTCTAATTCAGTACACATTATAATAATGCATATAATATGCACATTAATATTTAATACACATATATACAAATATATAAAAGATTCATTCAAGAGAATTTACATAAATGAAATATAATGCTTCTCAAATAGGAAAGAATCATTTTATTGATATTTTCATTCTCTTTGAATTAGCAAATTGCTTCAGTATGCATGAGATGCCAGAGATTTCCTGCGCTGATCACCTTAATCCAAGGTTATATGTCTTCAAATGAGACCCACACTTTTGTCTTTTACATTCACGGTGTATTTCTTACAAAGTTCACATATCTATTGTTTCATTCCAGGAGCGTGTTTTATCTGTTGCTAATGTGTCCAATGGCAATGGAGGAAAAGAAATGATGAATTACATGATCGCCTAACAGTGCTGACTCAAAAATAGCAGACTTCACCCCACTCACATTTCACTGGCCAAAGCATTGCCACTCACATCTGTCATCAAAGAAGAAGGGAAGTCTACATGACTCAGGAAAGAACACAGAATAGGTTTTATTTAATTATGTGTGTGTGTGTGTGTGTGTGTGTGTGTGTGTGTATTTGTACATGTAGAGAGAGATGAAAAGAGATTGAGAGGTTTGTGCCAGGAATTGGGGAGACTAGGACTTTCATGACCAAATGAAAAAGCATGCATTTTTATATAAGTTCTGTAGATCAGAAAGAAAGAAAAAAAATAAAATAAGCAATAGTCTCTTTAACTTTTATTTTCTCTTAAAACAAATTCAGTTTTCAATGAAAATCCATGAAATACTTAAAAGTAAATTTCATACATTTATTCATAGACTGAAGAGTTTTTCTTTGTATAACAACAGTAGAAAATGTGAGGGAAGACTAATATATATTGTACATAAAATATGTACATATTCATGAAAGTGTGTACACATATATAAAAAATCTAAAGACAGAAATCTGAAAATAGTTTTAATCTACGTCTTGGCAAATTCTTGATAGCTTTCATTATTCTTTAACTATGTAAATTTTGCATGATATAATTGCAATGGCAAAAACTCACAGATTTAGAGATTTTTGTATCGTAGATTTATAAATCTGACAATTTGCTGGCAGATTGCAGGCAATAAAGTGTTTTAAGTAATGGACTTCTTTTTAAAATTCATACAATATGCTATTTCCATGAGGTGTAGGGAATTGATGTTGTCCCTGATAGAATATAGCAAACAGCCAAACTCTTTTATATTGCACTTTTATT